GACAAATAAATCACAATTTTCCATAATTCCCTAGAGACTACAAGCATATCTCTCTCTCTTTCTCTGTTAGAGAGGGCCAGTTAGCGACATACAGCTTGAAGGACATTCCTGAACAAGCACAGAGCTGGGTGAGAGGCAGGCCTCCCTGAATTACCACTGCTAGTATAGAGATTGAACTGACTCTAATGGTATCATTCTGCATCAGACTTTAGCCATCTAACCAAATGAGCTAACCAACACCCACCATATGTTTGACTAAAGCTTAGTTTGTATAAGTTCAAGTTAGTACCACATCCACAAACATTCACTCCCTTCAACACCAATGCTCAGTAGCATCAGTGCATGCCAGCTACAAGATGCACTGCAGAAATTCACCAGAACTCCTGAGAGAACACCTTCCAATCCATGACCTCTATCATCTGGAAGGATAAGGGCAGCAGATACATAGGAACATCACCTTCTTCAAGTTCCTCTCCAAGCCACTCACTAATCTGACTTACAAATATGTCACGATGTGAAGATGGTGGTGTTGGACTGGGGTAGAAAAAGTCTTCACCTGATAAAGGATCAGTGCTCCAAAGGCTTGTGATTTCAAATAAACCTGTTGGACTACAACCTGGTGTTGTGTGACTTCTGATTTAGAAATATGTCACTATTCTTTTAATATCACTGGGTCAAAATCCTGGAATTCCCTCAGCTTTTGTGGTTCAACCTACACAAATAGACTGCAGTGGCTCAGAACACACTACCTTCACAAGGGCAACCCAGGATGAGAAATAAATGCTAGTTGTCCAGTAATGCCCATATCCCATGCGTGAATTTTAAAAAGTGCCCTCGGCAAATTTGCATTTTCTAAAATGCCTCTGCTGACAAAATTTATTTTAACTGTCATTGAAATTCATCTTTTCCTGATGAATTATTTTACATACCTCTACAGATTTTATCCTAATTTTGAATCCAACAGCAACTTTTTCTAGCACCACTTTACAATTGGTAGTACTGTTACAATGATGCTGTAACAATCACGAATCAAACCTTATAATCTAATAGTTGTTTCCTTAAAATGATTTTCTTTCCATTCCCCCAATAAGTACACAAAGAATGTACAAGATTCTTTATTGTTTTGTGTCAGTTGGAATGGACAATTAATATAGGCGCCTGCTGTTCTGTACACTGAACCTTCTTTATTGGAGCAAGAATAGAAATCGCTGGAAAAGCTCAGCAGGTCTGGCAGCATTTGTGGAGAGAAACCAGAGTTAATGTTTCAGGTCCAATGACCGTTCCTCAGAACACAGTTTGATTTGTCTCCACAGATGCTGCCAGACCTGCTGAGTTTTTCCCACAATTTCTGTTTTAGTTTCTGATTTACTGCATCTGTAGTATTTTTGTCGGTTCTTCCTTATGGTGTCTGGTGAGTACTAAAGATCCAGTATTGACTATTATTGGAAGCAGAAAGTTACAACTGATTAATAGTACAGTAACTCTAATACAGAGTGACATACAAGTTATTGTGCATGTTAAGAACGACAAGTAGGGAAAAGCAGGAGATGATATAATGTGAGATAACAAGGTGTAGAGCTGGATGAACACAGCAGGC